CTCCTTATTCTTCTAAACAGTTTTGTGAAAAAAAACCATTCATCAAATTACCAAATCATATAATAGGTCATTTTAATTTAATTTATATTTTTAACAAATTTTATTTTTTAATTTTATTTATGTTTTCTGTTAAATTTATTATTCTTGCCCAAAATTAGTTTTATTATTGGAATAGTGGGTAAAAAATTTTTTTACACAAATACATTCGGACAAGTGGTTTTTTTTAATATAAAAATTACTTTATTATATTACTATTATATTTTAATATATTATTCTTTTAAGTTGTCATTTCCTACGGTTGGTTTTTTGAACTATAAATTATCGTTTTTATTAATTGTTATTTTTTTTTTTTTGAATTTCCCGCCTTGTGGCCCTCTATCGATGGCGTCATGGCACTATTTCGTTAAAGTACTCTCTGGACTTGTGGTTTTATTACTTTTTGATTCCAACTAATAATTAACTATATACTATTTGCCTAAAATTAGTTAAAATATGTAAATATGTCCAATAATTTTGGTCGAAAATAAATTTAAAGCAATATTGCCAACCTTACTTCTTATTTATAAATTTTTTAAAATAAAAAACTACTAAAATTTGTGCAAATTAACCGGACCTCTAAAGGCCAAACATATTATAATATAAATATAAAAAAAATATTAAAAAAATATAAAATAAATATAAAAAAAAATATTTAAAAAATATAAAATAAATATAAAAAAATATAAATATATGATTTTTATAAATATACACAATATGTAAATGAACATAACTTTGAAAACTTTTGCCGAAGAAAGAATTCCTTCCCATCAGCGGGATAACCGGTCGATTTCTCACGCGTGACACAATCTGTCAACATATTTCTATGATTCACATTCTGAGAACTTCATTGGCCGCATAATAAATGTTTCGAATTTGAAGAGATTTGTAAAAGGGTTTTTGTTTGATTTTGTATTTTTTTTTTTTTTTAAATTTTGAGACATGCCCCCTTTTTAAAAAAAAAAACTCTCATGGTAAAGTAGACGCGTCCGCTGCTGAGATCAAGCCACTGAAATTAATGAGATGTGTCACTCAAACGTCGAGAAGTAATTAGAGGTGGGGTATATCTTTACCTATATATCTCAGCTACTCGACTCTCTTTTTCTCTCTAATCCGTCAGCTCTGACCTTTCTTCCTCCTGCTGTTTTTCTTATAATATATACATACAGTAGCCTTCTGCTCATTTTCTTCCATTCTTGTATTATATATTCAATAATATATATATATAAACATAGTGGTAACAATAACATTACAACGTCATAATTATTCTTACGAAAAATTTTATTTTTTTAAAAATTAGACCTCTTTTTCTTTTAATACAATAATTTAATAGAATTAAGACATAATTATTAAAAATAAAATAAAATAAAAAAATCTGTTATACATTCAGATATATTATCGTTCGTCGTCGCTTCGTTATTTTTATTCATATTAATAATAATATTATTATTATTATACGTATTTTTTCTTAAGACCGATTTTTGATAAAATTTTATAACGAAAAACGTTGGTAGGGGGCCGTCCATAAATTACGTAAGCCATTTTTTAGGAAAATTTGACCCCCTCCCCCCTCGTAAGATATTTTACATACATTAGCGCCATTTTGTCTCTTGTTCGTAAGATTTAGCTAGACCCCCCTCCCCCTTAATAGTCTTACAATAATTTATGGACAATCCCTAGACGTTTTTTTAAATTTAAAAAAAAAAATTTTAATTTTTAAAAAAATTTTTTTAAATTTTAATTTAAAAAAAATTTTTTTTAATTTTAATTTAAAAAAAATTTTTTTTTTATTTTTAATTTTTAAAAAAAATTTTAATTGGGAATGTTTTAGTAGCGGCGGATGCAAAAAGCAGGATCACTGAATCCCACGCTTATAGGCTTAAAAATCAAATGAAGAACTTTTTACCTCTTCCTTCCGAAAAAAAAAATTCTCTTATATTATTATAAATATATTATATTATAAAAACACATATTTCGGAATAATTATTATTATTCTTTTTTTAATTATTTGAGAATTATTCATAATTTAAAAAGTATTTAAAAATTAAAGAGGATGTAAATTCTTAAAACACCGCGCAAATGGATATAAAACAATAATAATTTTTTAATCATTCAATATTTAGAAAATAGAAAAAAAAATTATTAAAATAGAAAAATAAATAAAACAATAGGTAGGTACATTAATATAAATTTATATTCATTTTATAATTTAATATCAAGAACGATTTCTATGTTAATATAAATATTTATTTTGTTTAATATAAAAGAACTAATTTTATATGTTAATTTAGGTTCATATTTTGTCTTTTTTATAATTTTAATAATCCACGATCTCTTTTTTAATATAAATGAAAATTTATTTATTTTATAATTTAATTTATGTATAGAGATTTCTATACAGAAAACGCAGCATTTTTAATGATCCATTTAATAACTAAAAAATTATAAAACTTATTATTATGATTTTCGCAGTGTTATCACTAAAATTTTTATTTTATATTTCCCTGACCTACTCACTGTTTTCTAAATTCTATATTCAAATCTTGAATAATTTTTATAAATAGTTAAAGAAAACTACCTAATAAATTTTTTGATGAATTTTGTATTAACAATTTAAAACAAATGATTGTTTTTTCCAAAATGTTGAAAAAATTTTCAAAAATTTTAATTTTATTATTTTTTGTATGTATGTATTTAAATTTTTGGAAATATATGTAAAAAATTTGAAAAAAAATTAGAAAGAAAAAATTCTAAGTATTGTTTTTTTCAAAAATATTTTAAATATAATTTTTGGAAGCTATAATTATAATTATAGTATTTATTTTTCAATTTACGCAATTAAAAAATATTTCATAAAATTTTTTAAGAATTCAATTATTTTCAAAATTTGGCAATTAATATTTCTGAAAATTTGATTTTTAAAAATTGAAGTAAAATAATTTAAAAAATGAATTATTTGTTAATTATAATTTTTACAAAATTTAAATTATTCAAAATCTTTTTAAATGTATATTTTTCGAGAAAATTTAATTTTAATTTGTTGAAATATTTGAAAAAAACGTCGAAAAAGTCGCAATTTTTGAAAATAAGTCGAAAAAAGTCGCATTTTTTTAAAACAGTCGAAAAAGTTATAATATCCAAAGCTTGCACGATGAATAATGTATTATTGTTTTATTTATGATTTTTATTTATAACATTATTAATTTGAAGGTTAAAAATTATAATTACCAATGATTTTAAAAATAATTTTATAAATAGAAGTCAATTTTTTAATTTGTCCGACATATTGAATCTGATATTTTGATCTTTTGATATCGGATCTGAAAGTCAGTATAGATATTTATTATAAAAATAAAGTATTTTTTAACTAGATTAACAAAAAAAACTGTTTATAATTTAATAAATAAGTATTATTTTAGATTTATTTATTTGTTCTAAATTTTTGTATCAAATAATGATATACTTTTAAGAAAAGTGTAAATTTAAAAAATTTTAAATTCTACATTAATTGTAATTTAAATTTGTTCGAAAAAAATTTTGAAATGAAGAAACATTTTACAAATTCTAATTTATTTTATTCACAGAAAAAACAAAGTTGGTAACCAAAATATGATTGAAAATTATCCTATATTTTTAAGTTTAAATTTTAAAACCACAGATTCAGTAAATTTTAAGAATTAAAATCATACTCTCAAGACTAAAATTCAGTTAAAAGGTTTTTTATCAATAAATCGATTACTTACTAATAATATAATTTCTTTTTTATTATTTTTTTAATAGAATGTTAATATAAAACTATCTAATAATAAATTAAAACTTTTTTAAAAAATTCTATTAACTAATATTAAGTTACTTATATATTAATGTTAAATATTTAGAAATTAATGTTAAATATTTAGAATTTAATGTTAAATATTTAAAATTTAATGTTAAATATTTAGAATTTAATTTTAATTTATTTATAATTTAATTAATTGTTAATTACTTTAAGAATAAAAAAGACATCTTTTCTCTATTATTATTATAATTTTTGACATCAAATAATTTCTGCCATCAAGAAAATAACAAAGGCTCGCAAAAAATTAAATTTTACAAAAACTATTTTACAAATCGGAATAAATAAATTAAAATTGCAAATTAAATTAACTCTGATAAAAAGTAAACAAATAAATAACAGAATAAAGCATAAGAATAAAAAACAATTACTAATTTTTTGTGATAAAGAATAAATAAATAAATAAATAAATAATAATTAACAGAATAAAGCATAAAAATGAAAAACAATTACTATTTTTTTGTCTAAAAAATAAATTACATGCAATAGTCTATAGAGAAATTAAGGAAAAAGGAATCGAATATTATTACCACTATAATACGATTGAAATTGGTTCATTTATGAAAATTTCGCGACACATTCACATTTTCTTTCTGTTTATGCGACGAGTCTTGTTTCTTTTCTTTCTTGAAGGAAAAATTCGCGAAACGGTATATTTTTTTTTTTTGGGGGAAAAAATAAAAAAAATATCCCACAAATATAACGGGGGTTTTGTTGATGAATATAACGTCAGGCGACGGCGATGAGGTTACGTGGGCGAGTGGCGGCGTCGGGACGCTAAGCGTCGACAGTGTCGCGCGGGCGCGGAAAACAATGGCGTCTCCACGGCCCCCAATGTAACAAACCCCGCCTCCATTGTCCTCATCCCGCCATCGGCGCGTCCTTCACCCAAACACTTTTCATACGGTGCGCGCTCTTTCTTCACCGTCCGTGCAATACACCATTTCCCCCACTCCCCATTACGCTCTCTCTCTCTCTTTCTCTCATCCACTCTCCCACCACATGCCTCCCTTAGGACACGCCCACTTTGTCCGCCCAATGGGCCACGATGATCATCGTCCTGATACAACACATACACAACACAATCGGAGTGGGGGAATCCTGGCCAAAATTGTTCCAGGGAATCTTCGCATGAGGGAAGGCAGAATCTGTTGGTCAATCGGGCGCCGCGCACCGTAGCAGCGACGCGTCACTGCACCCCCGTTTTTTTTAAAAGTCGCACGTGCTCTCATCACGTCATTTTGTTCGGTGAAGCCTGCGGCTAACCCAGGCGAGAGGAAAAAAACATCCGAGATACCCGTTTTATAGCCAGTATTGAAAGAGAGAGAGAGAGAGAGAGAGAGCCGCCAAGTGTTTATTATTATAATATTGGTGTCACACTCACGCTCGACTGGAATCGAAAGTCGCAACATTATTATTAATACATTACTCTTATTATATTCTATGTTTTGTTTCTTCACTTGATGTCGGATTTCGGGCACTTTGCTAATATATTGAAAACGAGACTATTTTTAATTCATCAATTTGTGATAAGTGAACGCATCAGTGTGATATCCGCAAAAGGCAAAAATAATAATTTTTATTTGCCGGATTCGTGTATCTGAATCGGGTTTTTTTTTTTTTAAAAAAAGCCTCTGAGGAAAAGGATCTGTGCGTGCGAAGTCGCGGATAGTGATTTTAGCTGGTGCCAGGATCCGGCCTGACCACGGCCATTCTCGACACGGTACGTAACATTTTTAAACAAAAGAAAAAAAAAAAGTTTAGTGTGAGTGGGGGGTGGTTATATATAGTGATAATTTCGATTTACTTTTCAAAGAAAGGGGGGGGGGTTCAGAAAGTCATGATATTTTGGACCCCTCCCCCCTTAAAATTAAAGGATTTTAAGTCCTAAATTTATATCTTAACTTAATTAACTTTCAAATTTTAAAAGTAGGCTACTTTTCAATTTTTTGACTATTTTTTTTGACTATTTTTTTACATTATATAGTTTTTAACTGAAGGTATAAGCCTTAAAAGTATATAGGATATATTTTAAGCCATAAATTTATTTCTTAACCTATAATTAACTTTTAAATTTTAAAAGTAGGCTATATTTTTGAATTTTTTGACAAAAACCGTTTATATTACTTTCTTACTGAAGTTTAGCCTTAAAAGTAGGATTTTAAGTCCTGAAGTTATACCCTAAACTATATATATAGTTTAAAATTTTTAAAGTATAGGCTACTTCTTAATTTTTTGACAAAAACCGCGTTTACATTATAGTGTTTAACTAAAGTTAAGCCTTAAGAGTAAAAGTCCAAAATTTATTTCTTAACCTATAATTAAGTTTTAAATTTTAAAAGTAGGCTACTTTTTAATTCTTCGACTAATAAACCGCGCGCAGTTACATTATAGTTTTTAACTGAAGTTTATAGCCTTTTGAATCGCTTCAGTCTTAAAAGTAGGATTTTAAGTCTTAATTATGTCCTAATTTTATGTCCTAACCTAATAATTAAGATTTAAATTTTAAAAGTAGACGCTACTTTTCACTTTTTTTTTTACTAAAACCGCGTTTTTACATTATTTTTATAAGCTTAGCCTTAAGAGTAGGATTTTAAGCCCTGAAGTTATGACCTAACCTATATATGCTTAAAAATTTTAAAAGTTAGTCTACTTTTCAATTATATATTTTGACTTTATAAGACCCAAACGATTAGACCTTGTTTTTTATATATTAGTTTAGTGAACCCTGACCCCCTAACTATATAACTTAATGCGTCAATTGAATCAGGAATATAAATTAAGCGGGCAAATAATTTTTGCGAAAAAAGTGGACAATTTTTAGGTTAAAATTATAGAACTTGATTGGGGATAAAAGTTTGCCTAGTTACAGCCCTGTTAGGGTGGTTAGAATCGTAAAGAAACACTGCAAAAAGAAAAATCTTAAAAGTAACTTTGTAGTCGCGCACTTTTAAGATTATTTAATTTTTGCAGTGAAATATACTCTTCTTTCTTCACTGTAAAAAATCAGTTAAAAAGTGAAAGAAATTTGCTGTATTTTTTAAATGACCAATCAGTTTTACAATTACTGATATTTGAGTTGTTTTTAACTTACTTTTAGTGAAATTACACAGATTTTCAGTCAAATTTCAAACTTTAAATATTTTAAAATAAATTCTTCTTTCTTCAGTGTAAAAAGTCAGTTAAAAAGTGAAAGAAATTACCTATAATTTTTAATTGGCCAATCAGTTTTAAAATGACTGATACTTCAGTTATTTTTAACTTCTTTTTAGTAAAATTCCAAATATTCTCAGTCAAATTTCAAACTTTTAATATTTTTAGATAAATTTTCCTTTCTTCACTGTAAAAAATCGCAGTAAAAATGTGAAAGAAATCTTCTGTAATTTTTTAATTGCGGCCAATCAGTTTTAAAATGACTGATACGACAGTCATTCTTAACATACTTTTAGTAAATATTAACAGATTCTCAGTCAAATTTCGAACTTTAAATATTTCAAAATAAATTCTTCTTTCTTCAGTGTAAAAAATCAGTTAAAAAGTGAAAGAAATTTTCTCTTTTTTTAAATGGTCAATCAGTTTTAAAATGACTTCGATATTTTAGTTATATACTTTTAACTCATTTACAGTGAAATTTCACAGATTTTCAGTCAAATTTCAAACTTTAAATATTTTTAAATAAATAAATTAATGAATTTCACTGATTTTCAGCGAATGATTCAGGTTTAGAAAGTATATAAATTTCACTATATATTATATAGCGAAATTTTTTGTTTTTTTAAGACTTTTGTTATATTTTAAAAAAACCTTTCGCTGATCTATATAGTCAACACTTTATTTTCATGTATATTTTAAGTCTCAAAATTTAATTTTAATCTTGTTTTAAAACTTAAAAATTATGGCCGCGCTTTTAAAGCATATTCTGCAATTTTAAGATGCAAACGCGCGGTTTAAAAATTATTTTTTTTCTATGCTTTTTTTAAAATTGTTACGTATAAAGCTTTGTAGAAAAAATATTTTACAATCCTTAGAACATTGCGTTCTGATTAATCCGTCGAAAAATTTTTAATTTGGACTAAAATCTTGCTTAAAAATTATGGTCGCTTTTCAATAGCATTCTGCAATTTTAAGATGTGAGCGGTTTAAAAATTTGTTTTTTCTATTTTATTATTAATTCCTCCTAACCTTATTGATTTTGGATTAGAGAAATTTATTTTAACAGCACTTTTGGTCAGTTCGGTCAATTATTTTTTTATTTTATAAAAATCCGTATAGGATAAGTCCGCGGGGAATATGCGGCCATAGTTTTTTTAAAGTACTGTAAATATAAAAAAGCTATTTTTGTCTAAACTTTTATTGATAATTATAAACATTCAGCACTTAATTTTAAAAGAACAAAAAATGAAATAGAAATATTTTTATAGAAACAATTTTAAAATTTACATTTTTTAAAAAATACACAGTTTTTCTGCGCGGTTATCAAATTGAGACAAAAAACGAAGCAAAAGTGTTGCGAAGCAACATTTTTGCTTCTCAATTTGGTATCCGCAAAAAAACTTAGAAAAATGTTTAAAAAAATTTATTTAAAAAATTTGAAAAAGGTGCGTAAAATAATTCTAAAATCAAAAACGAATTTGAATTTTTTTACATAATAACATAATGCGACTGATTCTGACTGATACGCAAAAATACAAAAAAGATCATTAAGTATTTCTTTTTTTATCTAATTATATTATCATTTCCTCAAATAAAAAAAAAAAACAATTTGTTCCTTTTGAGAGTGTGCCATCATCAGGGAGGTCAAAGTCCCGCACTGGAGGGTCCCCTAACATTCACGGGGGTCCCTACAATGACTCGGTAGTTCGCGCTTGTCATCAATTATGTCATGATTCGTCATGCTGATCTTCCGTTTCTCATTGCACTTGAGTTCAAATCAATTTTTTTTTCTTATCGTATCATGGAATCAAGTGTTCTAAATATCTTTCGATAAACATTTTTTCTCCATTCCATATTCTTGCGTTCTTTTTTTCTCATTTCAGTCTTGTAAATTTTTCTATATTCAATTATTACTAATTTATGTCATTGAATAATGATAGGAAAAATAAAATATAACAACAAAATTAAAAATAAAAAAAAATAAAAAAAAGAATAAAAAAAAAATAAAAAAAAAAATAAAAGACAATAAAAACTTTAATAATTATTTTCAAATCTGCTTGAAACTTTTGCACATTTAATCTTTGTTTTTTTTTTTAAGTTATAATTTGTAGAAAAGGCTGAAATTCGAAACTTCATTAGTTTTTTGTGTTGTTTTTCAATTTTCGTTGATAAATTTGTGTACAAATATTTTTTTTAATACTTTCATAACTATTTTGTTATTTATATTTAAGCTCTAAAGTAAAAATTTTTAAAATTGTTTATATAAGATTAAAAAAAAAAAAATTTACGCTCCTATATCAACAAAATAATTATTTTCAAACTTTATAAAAAAGATCTAGGAAATTTTCCAAAAAAGTTATTTTTTTTAAAAAGTGACCGTAGGCAAATGTTACCATTTCAAAGTATATTTTTTGAAATTTTTTTTTTTTTTAGTTTATTGATGAATATGAGAGTTTACTGTAACTATATCCTGAGAGTATTTATTTTTCGAGAATTATTAAATTATCCCCTTCCCCTCACTCTCATCCCTCAGGCGATGAAATTGGCAACGATTTATTTGTAATTAATTTATTTTTAATATATTAAAAATATTTAGTTATAATTAAATTTTCATGTAGGTTTTAATATAATTTTATATTTATATGAAAAGTTTTAATTCTTTTTTTTATTTCTTGGAAAAGAGAATATTGACGATTTATATTTATAAATAACAATAATTATTGTATTTCAATAAGATGATAATATCAATATTTTATTAAAATAATAAAGTCATTGCCGGACGGATCAGTTAAAATTAAAATAATTTTCTTTTCCTATTAAAATTAAAATTTAATTGAAAATAAATCATTTTTTTCAAGTTTTTTTATAACAATTTTTGAAAATTAACTTTTTCAATAACTTTAATTGATAAAATTTTGGAAATAATTAAATTTTCCAAAAATTTTATAATGAATAATCTTCAAGTGTAAATTCAATAAAAATGAAAATTAATGAAAATTAGGTTATAAGAATAATATTAAAATAGTTTTTTAAAAAGTAATTAATTCTTTGAATTTTATTCTAAATTTTTAAAATACAATTATTTTTAATATTTTCAATATTTACGAAATAATTCAAATACATACAGAAAATAATAACAGGAAAATTTTGTTGAATTTTTTTGAACATTTTGCAGAAAATAAATATATATTCAAAATTTTTAATTTAAAATTCTTCAAAACCTTATTTTTTTTAAAAATTATATACGAAATTTTTTTCATAATTATACAATTATTTTTGCAAAAATTACATAACAATATTTTTAAAAAACTAATTAGAATTGTTTTATCATAATTTTTTAAAATTTATTTACCTTCGAAAAAAGGAAATTAAAATTTTTTAATATTTACTATATTTTATAATTTTTGAGAAATCACATTTATAATTAAAATTCTTCGACAAATTTGATTATTTTTTTATATTTTTTAAAAACTCAATTATTTTTAAAAAATTCTATCAAATTTCAATTACATTTTTCAAAGATTAAAATCAAAGATTAAATATTTAAATTATTTTTTGAAAGATTTTACA